TCCAGGGATCTCGATTGTTAATGGATCTATTAATATCATCTCTTTGAGGCTGCAGCACTAAGCTGCGCCCTATCTCTTCTCGACTGGCTGTTCGTAGACCGGCCCTTAGCCGTGCCACCTGCCGAGTGGATGCGGGCAGTTGCGGCGCGGCTTTTTCTTCGTGCCTGTCACCCGCAAAGCGGCAGCAGGACGATGCTTTCGCTGGATTCTGGCGAGACTCTGCACCCGAGGCCCCTCGACCACAAAAGAGCGCATGCCTTGCAGCCCGGAAGCCAGACCGTGTCCGGCACCAAACTTGCTTACCGCGATACTCTTGCACAAAACCAAAGCGATTCATGATTTCGTTGGGCAACGCTTGCTTCAGATTGCTGTGGGTTGTTCACAGGCACGTTTGTGGGGTCGTCTGGGCCTCATGAGTAAGCAGTGCCATGGAAGTAACCTTAAGGTGACAGGGTTGTATTGACAGATATACTGCACAGCTTCCCAAGCGGTGACAACTTTCTCATCATACCTGCGGCTCAGTTGCGCTTCAGCGGGACTGCTTGGCAGGTAAAGGAGCTGGCCCATGAGCATCGTTGCAATAGGCCGCGCACTCCAAAAGGTAGTTGCTTGCAGAGAGCTCGCGGATAAGCATTGAAACCAGTGAGCTGAAAATGTTTACGATTACTCCGACTGAAAACAGGGCCTCCACAGCCTTGTTGTAGTCGGGCAATATCCTCAGCATCAAGGTTTCCAGTCAGGAAAAGGGTGCGTTTGCGCCAAGGAAGGTCAAACTGGCAAAAGTTTGCGATTGCGAGACACACTGGGGATCTTCCGACAGCTTTTGCAAAAGGGGCAGACGCCAGCATTTGCTGGAACAAGGATTCTCCAAAATCCAGGGAATGCGTTCGCGGTTCAGAAGCCGGATGAGCTTAAAAAATGTTCGAAAACATCAATTGCCAACTGTGATCAGCTCTTGCTCGGCTTCTGTAAGAAAACTGGAATTAACCCTCATGGCTGATCTCTGGTCCTTATCACCTTCGGCGGTCCCTAGCAACTGAAAAAGAGGAAGTAAGGTTTCCTGAAGGGCCATGGATGATGTCATACTCCTTGCATCTGTAACCCAGCAGGCAGCATTGCATTGCAACACCTGCACTCCCTTAATGTATTGCCCTAGGCACCGCCTCCGATTGGAGGTGGCGGGGCGAGGCACCGCCAACATCACATCCTCGAGAAGCTCTGTATCCTGACAGTGCCGCTGAAGGCCCACTCCCAGCTGGGCAGAATTTGCCCCTAGGCGGGGTTCTTCTTGTGAGGCGCCACGCTCTTGAAGCTCTTCCATCTGCCTCGCTTCTGGACCTCCAGAAGATTTCGTCGATCTTTTGCCCGATCTATGGATGGTCCTGAGTGCCTCCACTATTACGGCATGACGCTGAGCTTCCTTGGGCCACCTGGTAGAAAGTCCTTGAAAATAGTCGAAGTCCCACAGCGGCTGCTCCGGGTGGTCTTTCCTCAGCTGAAGAGGTGAGAGGACCAAGGCTTCATATAGGCTGAGTCGATGGCGATGCTGTCGTGGAATTCCCCCATCTTCGAGCGCTCCGGCCTCTCTTCCAGTGACAGAAGAAGGCACCACTGGTCGCTTACTCTGTGAGTTGGAGGCTTGCTTGCTTCAAGGCTAAGACGAGTCCGCGTCTGCTGAATTCACTATGCAAACTCAGAGAAGAGCATCTATGATGCCTTCCCAACATACATCCAGGGCCGCCACCACAGCTAGCTGCCCTTGCCACTGAAACTTAGGAACCGCACCAGCAAGGAGCTCAACAGAATCCCGACTCTTAGCCGCAAAAAAATGAACAACATCAAGCGCTAGCTGTAGGTTGGGAGCAGTCAAGGGTGCTTCTAAACACTAATAACTTCACCCGAAACAACTCTGCAGATCCTCTGAACAAAGGAGGCCACGTTCCTACCGCTGAGCTTGCCCTCCACAGCATTCAAAACGCCTTTAAGCACCGCAGCCTCCGGTCCTCACAAAGTCCAGCTAGGACGAGGGCCTGCAATTTTAACAGGAGGCTGCCACGCAAACTGTGCTCCTGCAACCTCTCCGCCTGTGACTCCAAGGTCCGCGCCCAAGTAAGCACGCCTACAACTGCCATTGCAAAGATGTGCCCTCATTTGTTTTGAAGATCTGTGGTCAACCATGCAAACTTGGCAAACGGAACCACATAAAGCCTGAGTCAACTCAGCAACTTCTGCATGCGTTTTCTGTCGATGCGAGCCCATGGCGCCTTTGGATGAAAACAACTTGCCACAATCAGGGCACTGGCTGCTTAGATTTGACTCATGGTCCTTGATTCTGCAAACTGCTACGCCTTGTTCCTCAGCCTTCGCCGGGGTGCTAGCAAGAATCCTGCAAGTTTCCTGCTCAATTTTACCCCTTCTCAACGAAATCGGCTCAAAGCGCTGCGCAATACAAGCTTTTTGCAAGCAAACTCCTCAAGAAATCTTTCAACGCCATCAATGTCATTTACTCCTGGGACCATCAAGTCTCCCTGGCAAGCTGAGGCGATGACGCCAAGATCCCAAAGGACTGCCGGTAACCACACGGTATCAATAGCAAGAACGCTCCTGAAGTAACCCTTGTCATGCTGCAAAGACTGGCACAGGTACCGCGCACGCTCAACAGTCAGGGCATCCGCAGGCTCAAGTACCCCCAAAAGGGAGCAAACCTGAACGTCAGTCAGGCCGGCACCACCGAACCCTGAAACAGCAAAGCAGCACTGCAGCATGAAACCCATGTAGGTGCTTTCGTAAGCATGTTTCTCTTGGCTAGTTGACGAAGCCCACGCCCCAGCCCCAAACATGTACTTGTGGATAATCATACGCAACACCACGCAACTTATCTGCGGCAGACAAGAAAGGGTTCCTCAGCAATCTTTTCCGAACCGGTTCATAAGCCATTTGCGCAAGCAGCATTCGCTGCACATCAAGAAAGTCAAGCCGGCTGTAGTGAACAACTGAGCCAAGATGAACGTATCTGTCAGTGAGGGACACCGAAACCTTTTCACCAGATTGCAGCTCAACAGGAAGCGTAGGGTTATCTGCACTCAGCCACTTACGTCGAAGTATTTGACTCCCTTCTCCATACAACGCAATCGTGGCTTCTGCTTTTCGTGGCGAAAAGTTAGTGCAGATCCCCACTCTTCTTACAGCCAACTCAACATGTTGTATCAAGGTCCTCACCTGCCCAATGAGTTCAGACGCAACCAGCGCCAGTAACAACACTGCCAGGTCGTCAAGCCAAGTGGCTGCCGGCGCATGATGCTCAGCAAGCCGAGTATCGCGTGGGGGGCACTGTAACTTGCAATCCACTCTGGTTGATAAGCAACTCAATTTCACATAGCGAGTGGGCAAGCACGCCTTGCAAGCAAGTGCCCGTGCGCGCAGCCCATACGCCATTAGATTGCGGCTCCATAGTAAAACGAGTTCCCTGCAAAGTCGCCTCAACGAAACGACGAAGAAAAGGTGGGGCCTGAGACGCTTCAAGAATGGAAGGCCGCAAAGCACGGCAAGGAGCTGCTGCTGTGGGCTTTCGTCTGGGCAAAGCATGCCAAGCAACTCCAGCAAGCCACTGTTGTAATCAGCGTTGACAGAACCATCGCAGATAAACTCACGAATGGCGCTATAAAAGGCTGCCACACCATCGAAAAAGACCACTCCCCCCGAAACTTTTTCCTGTCGCAAACGCCTCAGGTGAGTTTTGACAAGGGTTTGCGGACTCCATTCCGGCTCCAAGAACAGCCCCACCCTTCGCCACCCCGAATCCAGGCGTGAAGAACGCAAGCAGCTTCTTTCACACAGCCCTTCCTATGGCCTTCACTCCTGTAGAGCGATGTCTCTCCAAGCAGCGGGTGATCCATGACCTTTTATGGGGATGGCAATCGTCAGTACCCTTCGCCAGTCGAGCGGGCATTCGCCGCAACCGAATATCTTAAGTAAGACAGGATACATGGCACAGGCAGCCGGCACCGAAGCATATTTGAAAGCCTCAGCCGGCCAGAATCGAAAGGATATTATGCGGCTACACCAAGGCGGTGTGTTAACCGTAGTAACTGACACAGCTGCAAGAATTTCGCACTAACATTGTGCTGTCATGCCTGTGTGGGCCGCCGGCAATCCGTAGAAAAGATAGAGCGCCATTGATACCCTCTTCTGTTTTCAGCTACATTGGTAGCGGAGCAGTGTCCGATCAGGACCTGTCTCCTGAGTCCAATAGGGGCTCTACAGGGATTCCGTAGGCTCCGGTATCGAAGGATCTGGGACAAGGCAGCTTAGGGTTCCAGCCAAGCTCCTGAAGGGAGATCTTTGAAAGTGCGCAGATGGCACATCTACGTGGTCAAGCGGCCCTTGGAACTGGCAGTGAGGACAGGAACTTCGTCCCGATGTGGGACGGCAAGCCGGAGACCTTCACCCACTTCGTGACAGAAATCCGGTGGACCTTGAATAGCACCAAGAATGCCGAACGTCCTCTACTTGCATCCAAGATTATTAGGAAGGGCCTGCAATCAGAGCACTCCATTTTGGTATCGCTGCTCTACAAACTTGACCCGGATGATTTCAGAAGCGAAGATGGGGTGACCAAGCTGGTCAAATTCTTGGAGAAGAGCCCGCTGAACCGGCAACCGCTGCCAGATGCTGGCAACAAAATTGGTGGCTACTGCCGTCGCCTGAAGAGGCGCCACCAAGAGCCAATCCCTGCTTTCCTGGTGAGTGAAGACAAGACTCATGATGAAATGCTCAAGGCATTGCAGCGGCTGTTGCAGGACAGGGAGCTGTCCTTCGATGGATACGAGACAAGCCTCTCCGAACTGAAGACCTTCTGCGGCATCAATCCAGACGACTCTGTCCATTATGGACCTCCCGAAGGGGATGATGAGGATGAAGATGCCAAGAGGAGGAGGAAGACGAAGAAGAGGAGGAGGAGCAAAGGACCCCAACTCCAAGGTCCGAGACTCCAAGAGGTCATCGAAGGGCAGTGGAAGAAGTTCCACAACCAGGAAGGAGGAGAAGATAAGAGGAAAGAAGATTAAAGGAAAGGACCTCCTGAACCGCTTGATGGAGAAGGGCCTGATGCCGTTGGCCGCGCTGGACGTGGTCAGAGGTTGGATGATCTTGGAGATGTCGACCTCTACTGACGACGAGCGCAGGGTCATCAAGGCTGCTACCCAGAATCGACTGGGATACCAGGAGGTGAAGCAAGCCCTACTATCAATGTTTGAAGATAGGGGCAAAGGCAACCCCTTTGGGGGCAAAGGCCTCTATGCTTAGGAGATGTGGGGAGATTATGATGAGACCATGAGCGCACACCACCAGGAGGACTGGAACTGGTGGGACGACGAAGCGTGGAATTGTTGCGGACAAGAAGGTGAATGGCAGTGGCAAGATGAAGAGGAAGATGGAGAAGATGGGGATCCTGAAGAGGATGAACCATCAGATGATGTGTTTGTCAAACTGCAGGAGGAACAGTCCGAATGCGAAGAACAAAGAAAGGACATGTTGGCTGACAATGACAGGAACCTGACAGAAGCCAGGAAGGCAGTCTCAGGCGGCCAAAGACCGTGGATGGGGAGGGACTGTGCAACAACGAGCACCCCGTCCGACATCCACGTACCCTTTCAAGCGTAAAGGCAAGGGTAAGCCGAAAGGAAAGGCCTACCTGGCAGAGAGCGCACACATGGCCAAAGGTTCGTCTGGCAAAGGCCCGAAAGGCAAGGGCAAAGGACAAAGAAAGATCAAGAAGGCTGTGCCACCATGGGCCACCATGGGCCACCAGCTACCATGTCTCTATGGACCTGGATGATGACGACTACGACGAGGAGGTCTTGGCGGCTGAGGCCAATGCCCAGAGTAGTCAACCACAATTAGGCCCTGAAGAGCCTGACTTTTTTGACTTTGAATGCGCAGCAACGTCTCCGAAGCCTAGCGACCCCGTAGACAGGCCAATTCTTGGCCAGGCGTTAAGCTGTAGCATGCTACATCTACATGAGGAGCAAAAACATGCAAGCAGAAGCTAATCGAAGCTACCCGTTTCAAGAAAACAGCAGCAGCCAGCAAAAGAGTTGCCCGCATCGAAATGCAGCAGCAACTTTGAGGATTACTTTAGTCCATCGAAATCAGGAGTAGCTGTACAATGGTAGAGCACCAACGCCCCGTAAACATTCGGGTAGTGATACCTTACTCCTGCTACCAGCCGATCACTGAGTGATAGAGCACCAACGCCCCGAAAAGTCTGGGGTAGTGATATCACAAGCACTCACTGAGCAGAGTCATAACAATTCCAGAAAAAACGAATATTGATCTCATTCCAGATTTTGTCGACCCTCTCTCTCATCGCGGCTGTTGAGTCTATAACCTGCAACCCACTCCAGGAACATTCTGCGCCCATTTGGACTCAACGTCCTCATACAGAACTCTGAAAACCTCAAGCACATGAAATTGCGCGTGTGCCTGCAATCAGCTGTTTGTACGATTCTGCTGGCATCAACGGAAAGTCCATACGCCAGGCAGTCGTTTTGAAGCAACATGCTGAAATATTGCTCAAGACGGCTTCTGTTGGGATCATCCTGGGTTCCCATTACTTCAACAAATCAACGATCGTTCTCAAGAAGATCTTGCCTCCAGTGACTATGAAGCATGGTAAGTTGAGCATTCAGGATAGCCCGGCTTGAGGCTGGAAGTCGAGGCTCAATCCTATCACGATATTTCCCAATGGAAGCTCTGCAAGGCTCCGCGTTAGTTGTCCACAACTTTGTGTGACCTGCCGCCTACCCTTTCCTTTCTGCAGCTGCTGATTTTCCAAATGCATGAAGACAATGTTCCGCCTGATGTCCTCCTCAAATTCCTCAGTACGTTCTGCCTCATAGTCTGCATCATCAACATACAGCTGCCTGAGAAGAGGTATTAGAGGTATCAGAGCCGGTCAAAGATAAGTCAGAGCCACTGCCAAAGTCATGGTCACTGTCCCAGCCTGCAAGGGTTGTGGTCTGAAGAGACCCAAGCGTGAGCGGGGTCTGGAAAAGCCAGCTTCTTTTTATTGTTCAGGGAGTATGCAACCTCCCTCAACCTAAGATTTGAACCTCAACTGCCAAGCCTGCCTGGACACCAGAGCAGTTGGTGACCCCTGTGTCGGTTGGGACGAAGCCGCAGCCATGGCAATTCCTTAGAATGGATGTGTTTGAGCTCATGTTCCCAAAACAGAAGCTGAAAGCCAGATACCTCCGCATGATCGATATGACAATGAAGTTTGCAGCTGTTGAGGTCCTATGGCAGAGACCCATGCAGGAATCCGGAACTGATCCAGGATCCCGGGTCATGGAGGTGTTTTCGGGCACCTGGCTGCAACACAGACCGAGACCGGAATGGGCTCTTTGCGATCCGCAAACAAGTATCGCATTTGGAGATTTCAATATGACTTTCTCCACTCCGTCAGGATCGGAATGACGGGTGAGGCCCACTGGCAGTTAGGAGGAGTTGGCGGAGCTGGAAGCTAAAGTTACGAATGGCAATACGCTGTATAGAAAGTTTGTGCGCAAGCAAGTACAGTTGCATGCGTGTTGTGAACAGTCAAGTTGAAAAACCAGCTTGTGAGAAAACATGACAAAACATGTCAACACAAATGCGCTGGCTCAAGCCTGCAAACCAGTGCAGAAAAACAAACGATCTCTCTGGTCAGCAAAGAGCTTGACAGAACAAATACTCAAGCCAGGGTAAAACCCGGCTAAGCTGGCCTGGCTCAGCCGCAAAACAAAAGAACTGGAGCCAGTTGATTGTGGAAATGTGATCCGAGCTGAACTGGACTTCTACAGATCTGACCTGGACAGTTTCAATGAGCAATGGGACAGACTGGTCTCTCACAGATTGGGAGGCAACGATCTATTCCACAACCAGTTTTGGACCGGACTCGCAGGAGAAGAAAGAAAACATTTCTAGCTGTAGGGAGCAAGCTACTTCAACATCAGCTTCAACAAACCTGCGAGCCAGCTATGCGCTTCGCTAAGTTACAAATACCCTTGCCGACTTGCTCTGACGCAGGCTGTGCCTTTCCGCTTGGGAGAAGCTCATGTGAATCGCTAGCGCCAGTCGCTCCCATAAACGCCCATTTGGGGCAAGACTTTGGAAACTTTAGTCCGAAGTTGAGGCAATTAACTGTCTTGCAGCAGGATAGAGCCTCTCCGTTGAACAATGTAGCTCAGCCCAACAAGTAGCGCTACTCGCAAAGCGAGATTTCTCACCTGACCAGGACAAGAATCTTTCCGCTGCGTGTGAATGAATGTTGATGTTGTTGTTGATGTTGTTGATGTTGCTGTTGCAAGTGCATCTTCGCACAGAAATCATGTGAGAGATGCGCAGCTTGTCCTGCGCAAGGCGCGCAGCAAAGCAAGGCTACACCTAGAGTTGCAAGTTCTAGATTCTGGGGCGCAGGGGAAAGGTGCCGCGGAGCACGCCTTGAACCTCGTTATCGCCCATAACAGTAGTTCTCAGTTTTGTTTTTCTTTCGATACCATGGTCAGTGGTGCAGATTCCAGCCAGCCAATGAGAGGCAACTGATTCCACCTTCTCAGCTCATGAGCCATGATTCGGAACAGAAAAAGATCGTAACATTCGCTGCGGATCCAGGGAGCGAGTTGAATCTGGACAACAGGAGCAAGCTGAACCTGGACAGAGGGCTCCGCAGTCATACCCTGCCGAGAGTCAGCGGCAAGTGGAGGAAGCGAAGATTCGTGAACTCAAAAGCTTAGTTGATGATGAACTGAAAGATTCTATGTCGCAAGATGCCATTACAACTAAAACCATCAAGAAAATTCGCTGGAACTGGTGATGAAGAAGATGGAGCAGCTGCAGACAACGGATGCTGGAATCAGTAAGCTGGAGGATGAGAGAGGGACAGCGTTCGTGAGTGGTCTGTAACTGTTCCGGAGGGCACTTCCCTAAGAGAAGCTCACGACAAATTCAACCTGTCTTTTTTTTGCAGAAGATGAGATGCTTGGATCTTTGTCTGGCCCAGAATGCAGCGTGTGGATTTGAGAGCATCCACCAAAAAAAATTTCATTAACAGATGTTTGTCCACTCGCGGCGCCCAGTCATCATTGTGCGAAGACACTGGAAGCAAGGGCAAAGGCAAGCGCAAGCAGAAAGGCAAGCCTCAAGCCTTCAACTGAACATTGGAGGTGCGGCATGATCATCCACAACAACGCCGTCATCAATGGGCTCTTCCTCGCCACCTTCGTACTCATCCTCCTCCGCACCTTCATCATCGGCATCCCCATGATGCCCGGGTCGACATCTTCTCCGTCGGCGTCAAGCCCAGGCACAGCGCCCTCACCTGCACCGATGGTGACAGGCGGGGTCTCTTTGTGTGTTTGCACACTGTCATCACTTTTCTCCTGGCTTGAAAGCGTTCAGGATTTGAAGCACTTCATTAGACTCTTCATCGTCATGCCTCTCGGACTTCTCATTTCTAACTTTGAGATATGGGATGTCGCCCTTGACACACATTTGGATCCGCTGGCCCTCTTTGTTGATCATACAAGGGTCTCGACCTTCAGGCCATACGAAGGAATCCGTGGTTTATGCATCTCCTGCCCACCGACAGTACAGAGGGTGCGGACTCCAAAATGTGTGCTTCAACAGGCTCGTTGAAACAATTGGTGGAGAACCTTGCCACGATGTCCGAGTCAGTGGTTCCATTTGCCGTCTGGAAGTGCATGGTCTTATCGCCCACGAATGATTCAAGGTCATTGCGAGTAACTTTGTCTTGAGATACGAGGTCATGCCCGCATCCTGTATCCATGATGAACTTCATCTGTGTTTTGAGTATCTCAGGCTGTACCATGCAAATGTGTCGCACCTCAGGCAAAGCTTTCAGGTAGGCATGCTTCGGAGCCAGCTCGTAGAACACGTTGGCTTTGCGATTGGGTCGTTGGTTTGCTTCGAGTTGTGCGTACTTCTGTCTTTCCACAGTGATTTCCTCTGCAGCTACTTCGCGCAACCTTTGGAATTCCTGAGCCATGGACCTAGTGCGTTGTTCTTCTTGAATGAAAGCTTGCTTCGTTTGCTGATTCTCGCCCGCAATGAATGATTCCTGGTTTTCGGACCGCTCCATCGCTTCGTGGCATCCATCATAAGTTGCTCCGCAGATCTGAGGTCAGATCGCAATGCCGAGTTCCCTGTCGCCTTTTGTTGCATCATCTGAGTCATTCGTTGATACTCCTTGGCCATATCAAACATTTCCCCTTGGGATTATTGCTCAATATGAAGAACCGCTTGCGTAGCTTCATCCCTCAGTTCTTGCGCTTGCGTCTGCTGTAGACGAATCTCGTTCTCGCTCACTTCAAGGCGCCGTTCACGCAGCTGTTGCCTTGCCTCTTGTTGCTGTATTTCGGACTGATGCCGTTCGTGGACGTGTCGAGCAAGTGCCAGAGCGTTGTCTCTTTCTCATAATCCGTAGAGTCGCGCCCTCATCTTCCCATGTCATCTCTGCCAGCTTAGCCTACAGCTCTTCCACAGTACGCATGTCGACTCCAGGAGACTGCCCGTGGGGCAAATCCCTCTGTGGCGACCCCATGACGGATGTTAAGGCGCACTCGGGCTTCCCCTGGGCGAAGTCGAGTCGGTGGTGTGGACTCGCCGGATTTCTTCTGGAGGGAATCTGAGATAACTTTACGCGTGGTGCTTGTAGCGCTCGAGGAGCGTGCTCCGGTGTTGCGTTGAACTCCCGGAAGCACTGGGACGTGATCGAGATTCTTTCCGCATCTCTTGTCTTCGGAATATGTCTTGACGTCGTTTCTCTGCCGACTTCTTGCCCTTGCCATCAGACGAAGACGATACTGTGAGATGCTCGTCATCCGATGTTGTTTGAGCAGGTGCAGCAGCGTCGCCAAATGTGATTGTGGTGTTGGCGCTCGAATCATTCGAGTCCATCGTCGTTCTTGTCT